TGCTAATAAATTGGATTATAACGCAAGTCATTCTAGTTGTTTTTTTGAAAGAAGACATATGAATGTTATGCTGTCATGAATCCATTCCTCAGGGAAGTCTGTTTTCAGAAGAGCCATCGGTTAGTGCTTCCTCCTTTAGCTGGGTCTACCCTATTGTACATTCATTTGCTGTCAGCCACATAATATTTTCATACACTGGGAAAGAGTACCCTGAGTGTGAAGAGTCAAAAACAAAATTCGCAATTCAGTCTTGAAGCCCTCAACCCATCCAGCCTTGAGATCTTTTGAGCCTTTGATTGCGTAGATTTAGAATATCAGGCTGCTTCAGCCCCAGTGTGAGTACATTTCCGTGTAGATGTGTTAATTAATTGCAGAGGTGACCAACCACTGCCGAGCAATTACTTTTGGCAAGGAGAACAAATGGAAATACAAGGAGCAATCATTCTTAGAGATGTTCATTGTTGCTTCTCACAGAGAAGACGGAAGAGATGAGCAGAACCCTGCACAGGGACATCTCTCTTTTTGCTGATGATCCTGGGAATTCTTGCTAAGCACATTCTTCTCACAAAGAGCTCAGTGCACTCAGCTCACTCAGCCACCAGCATTCTGAAGTCTAGAAATGTCAAATCCTTACATTAGCAAAGGGCCCATCACTCGGTTGCATGAATTTCTACAGTCCGCAAGTGTAATCCTGCATGCCTGTGGGGTCTCTTCTGGGTCTCAATGATCCTTCTTTGTCAGGTAAGAGGCCTCTATGGATCCCTGGTGGCCATATTTGCATTTGCGTGGCCTTTCGCCTGGCCCTTACTAAATAATTTTAGAAGAATTGGCATCTTGGGCCAATTAAATTCTCTTGAGAATTTGACATAGAGAACAGATAAACCCCAAGAAGGAAGTTGCTTCACTAACGTCAGTGCACTCCAGAGAAAGTCATCGAACTCCCACAGCTAAAGTTCCTGAAGCAGCCTTGATTTCTTCCCTTTCTGAGCTGTGATTATTCAGCTCTCTTTGAAACCAATATGGGACTTAGGACAGGAGAAGTAAATTATCCCAGTCGATCACAATGGAAAAAATATTGGGTCATGGTTAACCCTTTGATGTATAGGCTCCCAAGGTGATGTTAATCATATTCTTGTATCTACTGATTGCTGAAACACTTATAACCAATAAAACCAAAGCAAACCTGTGCCATCAAGTTGATTCCAACTCATAGCGACTCTGTAGAACAGAGTAGAACTGCCCCATAGGGTTTCCAAGGACAGGCTGGTGGATTTGATCTGCTGACATTTTGGTTAGGTGTCAGACGCTTAACCACTACACCACCAGGGCTCCATAATAACCAATAGCAACAGTATATTCATTTATGCTTTCCAAAAGGTATATGTATGTTTGTAAAACCTCCAGAACCTCACAACCTATGAATCAGTGTCTGTGATGCAGTATAAGATTTTACTGCATATTTAATTTGTATGTGATGTGGCTAACCAGATGACACCTGTCTGAAAATGAGATAAATTAAAGGACATATGCTGACCAGCGGTGCTCAAAGGATGTTCTTAAGTATTCCTAAAACTGTTTAATACTTCCACAGATTTTTTATTCTAATTTCATTTTTTAATATTTTAACTATTTTAAACCATAGTAAGAAGCATTACACTGCAATATGTTCTATGCCATATGTTAATGCATTCAAGAACCACCATAATGTTAACTTGTACTGCCAGGTTAATATAATGCAGAGCACAAAGCAGCAAGTAAAGCTATCTTTAACCCATTATTAAGCACCTACTAGAGCCTAGTCACCTCTGAATGAATGGAAACCATTGCAAAGATGTCATTGACTACAGAGGGGTTACTTGGTACAAGGGTTTTTTTTTTTTTTTTTTTTTTTTGCAATTGAGGCTAGCCCATGCCTGATCATGTAAGACTATAGAAGCAAGTACTTCACTGTTTATTAGGATTGCTTCAATACTATAAATATTAAATAATACACACACACACAAATTGGTGTTGAGGAGATTTAAGACTGTAATTCTCATCATAATCTGTGCTTTCAAATTTATGTGCTCGTTGAGATAGACATCAAGATTTGAATTACAAAGTAATTTTATATTAACAAAGTATGGCTTTCATTTATTTCATATGTACTCTATATATTGAGGTTCACCGTAAGATTTCATTTCATTAAAGACTTCTGCAGGGAAAAAAATACTTGAAAACTGCAGCACTATTGACATATTAGACCAGATAATTCTTTATTGTCAGAGGCTGTACTGGGCATTGTACAATGTTTAACAGCCTCCCTGGCCTCCACCCACTAAATGCCAGTAGCAACCTCCAGTCCAGGCCTGACATTCAAAAATATCTCCAGACGTTGTTAAATTTCTCCTGTGCGGCAAAATCCCTCCTGTTTGAGAAGCAATGGCTACCTGATAAGTCATAAGATCATATAGCCGGCCAACTCTACTAATTCCCGAAGGATGTTCACTTATTCACGATTTTTTAAATTCATGAATAGCTGTTAAACAAAGGATAGATAGATGAGTTTTTTAAAAAATATTATTGTTTTGTTTTATTTAGGATGTTTGAAGCACTATGTAGGCCATAAAAATAATGTTGCAAAACTGTGCTTTCAGACAGCAAAATCTATTTATGATACATTGTTCAGTGAATAAAAACATATTACAAAGTAGTAAGTATGGTATGGTAGCATATTTGAAAATAATAAAACTTGTTATGTGTATGTTTGTGTGTATGTGTGTATTTACAGAAAAAGAGAAGATTTGGAGGTATACGCACCAAGGTGTTAACAATGATTGCTTCTGATAGTTGGGATATTCCAACAACTTTCATTTCCTTTCACTCTATTTTTATTTTTTTGATTTTTTTAATGAGCACACTTAGCTATTATAACAAGGAAAAAAAAGTTTAACAAATAATGTACCATTCTGAGTGAAATATAATATTGCTAAACAAATACCAATTTAAAATAAATCCAGGCAGTATCAAAGTTGTCTACGTACGTCGCCATCTACTCCAATCCTTTCATTTCACGAATATGAAAACCTAGAAAGAATAAGTAGGGTAGTTTCCTAAGGTCCCAAAACTCACCAAAGGCAGACCCCAAATGAGAACCCAGGTCTCCTCCAGTGCACCTTGCAGACGTGCGCTCTAGTCAGTTGCATAAAAGATAGGATATTGGTTAGATACACAGGTCTGAGGAGGAGAGGGGAAGAGAAGGGGAGCAAAGGATTGTTTGTTTACCATATAATGAAGTATAATTACACTGTCCCTTTCTTTCAATTGTGATTTCCCTGCTGTCACAGGGCATAAAACGCCTGTGCCTCCCCCTGAAACAGAAGTTGCTGTAACAGTAACCAGTTGCGTCAAGTAGATTCTGACTCATGGTGACTTCATGTGTGTAAGAATAGAATGGTACTCCATAGGGTTTTCAATGGTTATTTTCAGAAGTACATCACCAGGCCATTCTTTTGAGGTACCTCTGGGTGAGCTCAAACCCCCAACTTTTGCGTTAGCAGCCGAGTGCATTAACAGTTTGCACCATCCAGGGACTCCTAAGTTGCTGTAATGACGCCTACATGCTCTTTGCCAGAAGCCATTGACAAGGCCTCGATCTTCCATTCTAAACTAAGAAAAGCACAGCTTTATCACCACCAGAACACAGGTTATTTGGCAATTGCTTTTAGCATTTTTTATGTAACAGGCTTTCATAATTCTTTGCAGTTCTTTGTTACAAAGGACTACATTACCTAGGGTTGCCAGATAAAACACAGAATGCCCAGTTAAATTTGAGTTTCAAATAAAAAATGTTGAAATGAATTTTTTGTAGCATAAGTATGCCTCATAATATTTGGGTATATATCTTACTATAAATGTTAAAATATGAAAACATTAAAATTTTTATACTAAAATATTATTCATTGTTCTGCGCTCCCTGCTGAGTATGGGTGGGTGAGGGCCTCAGAGATGAGTCTGACGTGTCTGTCTAGTAGAGAGGAGTGTGAGGCACCAAAAGTCATAGAGAGTATGTTTTGTTGTTATGTTTTGCTTTTTGTTATTAGGTTGTAGGAGGAGAAGGTAGGCTTCAATGCATAATATAGGTGTCCTCCTACTCATAAGGCTGGACTTGCCGCAGATACGGGCAGAGACATTCCTAGGATGCTAGCAAATATGGGAAAGGCCATGCGATAATAATTGCTATAATAATGATCACCATTATTGTGGAGTGCATACTAAGTATAGGACGCTGGACTAAGAACTTTGCAACATTATCTCTTTAACTCCTTACAGCAATCTCATGCAGGTGTTTGGATAGATGAGGGAACTGAAGTTCATGGAGGTAAATTAACTAGCCCAAGTGCACACAGCTAGTGAGCTGCAAAGATTCAAACCCAATCTGCCTGCCTTCAAAATTTTCAATCCTAAAATTTTGATGCCTCATTTCTATCAACTGGAAAATATTTTGGGGGGCTGGGAAGCCTGGAAATGAAACATCACCATTCTTTTAATGCTGTATTTTCTCTCTCTTGCCCGGACAGGATCACAACCACGGCTGCTTGCATGATGGATCTGCGAAGATATCCTCTGGATGAGCAAAACTGCACCTTGGAGATTGAAAGTTGTGAGTTACTTGGACAGGGGAATAAAGAAAGAGGAATGTTTGGATTAAACTGCTTGACCCAGCTAAACAGAACCTTGGACTTGGTTAACTTAAGTATTTGGCTGCTAACCATAAGGTCAGCAGTTCGAATCCGCCAGCTGCTCCTTGGAAACCCTATGGGGCAGTTCTACTCTGTCCCTTAGGGTCGCTATAAATTGGAATTGACTCAATGGCAATGGGAAGGATGTTTTTAGTTGCACTACTCTGCCAACTTTTCAAGAAGTTCACAGTCTAGTGACATTCCCTCCCTATGTTGGTGGCTTATGAGTCATTTCATTGCAGCTATCTTTTTGAACCATTGGGGAAAGTCCACTTATTTTAGCTCAACAATCTATGACCTTATGCTTTCTCCTTCTCAGAGTTGAGTTTCTCTCAAGGCCTTCCAATACCCATGCTGCATTAATAAGAAAGGAAAAACATTTCAATATGAAAAGACTTCTTGAGATTGCTTTTGGTTCAATAGTCTGTCTACCTGGAGGATTGTCAATTATTGTCTTTTAGAAAAACAATATGGTGGAGTGTTGTGCCCATGTGTCTTTCATCATGGGAAGAAACAAGATGATAAATGGTACTCCTGGAGCTTCTGCTTTGGGCCAAAAACAATGTTTTTCAGGTCTAGTGGCTGATTTTGGTTGGTCCTCTTGGGCTGGTTTTCATTAATTACTCTCTTAACAATGAAGACATTTTAGTCACTGAGATTTAATCTAATTGACTATCAGATTGTGTTATTGTTTCTCAGCCATCAACCTGCAGGCATTTGAGCCCCTTAATTGTGAATACCAGTCCTAAGCCATTTCCTGGCTTTCAGGGGCACAGAGAGGTGTAGTAGCTAATTCAGAGCATTGTTTTTGTTGTTGTTAGTTGCCATAGAGTCGATTCTGACTGATGGTGACCTGATTTGTGCAGAGTAGAACTGTTCCATAGGGTTTTCAGGGCTGTGGCCCTTCAGAAGCGGATCACCAGGCCTGTCTTCCGAGGCAACCCTGGGTTAGTTAGAACTGCCAATCTTTCAGCAGTATTTCAGAGCTTAATAATTTGCTCATTCCAGGGACTGGGGGAGCATTACCATTTAATGTAGTGAGGTAAACTGACATATACTTATTTGGGTCATCTAAAATACTTGCCAGATCTTAACATCAAAAAGGTGAAGGTCATTGTTGAAATGGCTAATGTTTTGTTACCTATGTATTTATCACAATTAAAAAAATAGTTAAAAAAAAATTAAGGGAAAATTCCAAGTGACCCTCCAATGTCTGATTATTAAGCAATTTCATTAATTTTGTAGTTCTACTGTATACAAATACAGAAATAGATAAAGATGCTTATGTAGATCTAGCTATAGATGTAGACATGCACATTGATCTATTGTCACTAGACCCTGGGATAAAAAAATTCATGACTATTCTTTAATTAATATTCTAATTTTAAAGCTCATCATATTAGGAAGTTGGTGTATATTGAAAGGTGTTAACATATAAAAATGTTGATGGTGACTTTACGTGCCAAAAACTAGTGAGTGCATATCATAGGAATAAAATACAAACCTAAACATTTACTAATGGTTAATAATGTTCTATAACCAAGGTAGAACTTTAGTTAAACAAGTAAACCATTAGTTTTTGGAACTGATAAAGAAAGAGAAAGTAACTCATGGATTGTTCATGCATATGAGTTGCCTTTTTCCCTGACCTTGCTTCCACTGACTTTGATTTTTGAATCTTGGCATCAGCTGGACAGCGTAAATGTATGACAACCTCTTGATATTTCAAGATCCTAGGACTTATATCATTCAGGTAAAGGAGCAATGAATTTTGTCAAGTACTTGAATGGATTCTGTGTTGTAAATTGCCAGTGCTGAAATTAGCACATTATCTCCCCAAATACATATTTTAATGCATAATGCACAGTGAGATTTTCTGTTATTATAGGTTGATGGTTTTCTTTAAGTAACCAGATTTCTTCATTTATATTTAGAGTAGATGATTTTCAGGTTCATTTATTATAAAATGATCATATAATGATCAAAAAACAAAAAGGATAACTGAAGCAAAAATTGAACATAACCTTGGAGTGAGGCAGGAATAGGGGAGGGGAGCCCAGACAGCCAGATAGTCCACAGTAATCATAAAGTATGGGGGCAGGCAATAGGTGGTAACCTAGACAAGTGATAATCATTGAGACAGTCCAGTAAGATGCAACCAGATGTCTGGACAGATGGATGAGGCATAGTAACAAGAACTCTAAAATCAACTAATATGTAGGGTTGCAGGCAGATGGTGACCATCATCAGTGTGGCCCACCATAGGACTCCAGTCCCTATAGACACTTACCTTGAGCAGAGAAGACACTCAGGCCTGTAACAATTTGCATGATGAAAAGACAATGAAAGCAGAAACTTTGGAGAAAGGAAAGAAATATGAAATTGATGTTTAGTAAGTGCTTTCTACCTTCCAGACACATGGGTAGACATTACAAAACATCTCTATAACATGAGGATTAAAAACTAAAACCAAACTAGTTGCCATCAAGTTGATTCCAACTCATAGTAACCCTATATGACAGAGTAAATCTTTACGAATGTAAATCTTTACGGAAGCAGACTGCCACATCTTTCTCCTGCGGAGTGACTGGTGGGTTTGAACTGCTAACCTTTTGGTTAGCAGCTGAGTGCTTAACCACTGTGACACCAAGACTCCCTCCCATAGAGCCTAGGAAACCCTATAGGGCAGTTCTACTCTGTCCTGTAGATTCACCATGAGTTGGAACGTATTACCGAACACTTATTTAAGAGATGGTGTATCTGAAGCTCAGAGAAGTAAAATAACTTACCCAGGGTCACAGAGCAAGGGTAGAGTGGAGTATGGATTCAACCCCAGGTGATCTGTTTTCCATCACAGAACCCGGCAATCAACAGGTGGGTAAGGGATCAGAGCGTCAATGGTTAGAAGTATAGCACCAATTGGAACCACTCTCAACTAGGTTGAGGACACTGAATTGCCCCAAGACTGGTCTGTATTTTCTAAAATTGCCTCTGGTAAATGTCAGAATCGGTCCCAGAATCTGAAGATGAAGCTAGTTTTTAGTTCAAGGATTAAGTGATTGCATCTGTGGAGAGAGGGTGATCTGTGGATACAGAAAACCAAGCAGGCCATCATTCCATTGATGTTACCCTAAAAAACAAAGCCTTGATTGACAAGATTGTTTAATGTTAATATTTTACTTATGGTGTATCCCTTCTTAAAAATAGATAAATTAATGTAAAGAAATCTTAAGTCTCAATAATAATAATTTTAAGCAGTGAAGTAACATGTACAGATAATATGGAGCTTGAATGAGGCTTGTTTGTTTCTATGTAATGGATACTTCACTAAATATTAATCAATGCTGAATCGGGTATTCATCAGTTTTTTAACTCTTCATAAAGAAACATGTGTTGCATTGTTTGCTGAAACAGCTTTCCTTGAATTGACAATTTATCAAGACTACAACTTAGCTTTAAAGTGATTACAAATGAGAAGTGCTAGTGTCAGTTGGGAAATAAGAATGATAAAGTAGTCATTTCACTGTTGTCAGATTGAACCAATCATACTTTTATGACCAACAGAGTGGAAGTTTTGTCTACCTCACAAAATTTACTAGTTTGTATGCCCTTCCATCACCATCAAAAGACTAGGGAAATGTTTCCCTTGGTTGGGTCATCTGAGGCAAATTAAAGACGTTTTGTTTTTCTCTAATGTTATCTAATCAAGTAAAATTGGAAAGTCCATAAAGACTTATTAAATTGAAAATTTGCTTGAACTTGGAATAGATTAATAGCTTCATAGCCTGAGGTGCTTATAAAATAAGTTAATGGCATATAGAAAAAAATCAATCAAGGAATTTAGTGTAAAGAAGATTTTGAATTTGAAATCTATAAAGCTATCATGTGAAGGTTTGATAGCCAAAAGCTTCAAGAAGAAATTAAAAGCGCTTGGGATAACAATCTTGGAGGAGTTGGTCCCTTCTCCCATTTTCTGTAGCAGCAATTACAGAATAGCTCCACCCTAATCTCACTCTCTCACTTTCAGCGGATGGTATCACAAACCATGTCAGGCCTGATATCTCAGTGTTCTCACACATCTTCCTCTAAATTTCCTTATGTCATCACCATTATGAGTTAGCTCCCTGTATTCAAAGGAAGAGGTGCTTGTATCCCTTTCATAGGTTGACCCTGCCCCCTGTGTTCAGGATTCCATCTCCTTCCTCTTTTGGGAATTTGTTATCTCAAGACCACACATGCATCCCCCCTAGTCGCTCAGATCCTCAGTTTTATCCACTCTTACCAGCTCTATTTGATAGCTTACAAACAAGCTGAAATCACCTCTCCTCTTAAAATACTTCCACTCTACGCCACATGTCCATTAAGCGTTTTCCTAATATCTCTATTTTCCTTTTCTCCAAGCCACTTGAAAGAATGGTCTTAATCTATTGCATGTTGTTACAATTTTCTCTCAACCCACTGTGATCTGGAACCTGCCTACCCACTTCCTGTCTCCACTGAAACTGTTCTTAGAAAGGTCAGATACCATCTATATTCCAGTAACACCCAAATGTATCTCTGCAGCTCACATCTCTCTTCTGAGCCCCAGACTGATATACACAACACTCTTTTTGACACATATATTTTGATATTTCAAAGGGATCTTAAACTTAATTTGCCCCAAACTTAACTCTTGCTTTTTCCCTTCCAAGTCAGTTTCTTTTCCAATCTCCTTGCTCTCACTGTTGAACCAAAACCCTAGGAATAACTGTAGACATCTTCCTTTCCCTTACATCTCTCCCATCTAATCTTTTGTCAAGTACTGTTCATTCTACCTGCTAAATATTCCTTAAATCTTTCCACTTCTCTCCAGTTCCTCTGCCACCAGTCTTCTTACCTGAACTGTTGTAGTCTTTCTGGTTGTTTTTTTTTTTTTTTACTT